TTATACTGTTATGTAAAAATCTACTTTAGGTTTTTGCACTAACTTAATATTGTTGATGTTATTACAAAAAATACAAACTAAATTTTCTTCGGTAAGTTTTGTTTTAGGAAGAGGTACGAAAAAAGACGTTTTAAATCCATTCACATTTTTTTTAATAACACATTAATAATATAATACCCTTTTAAAGGGAATTAAACAATAGTCTTCCTAATGATCGTTTAAGTAATAACAAATCAAGTATGAGCGCGCGATTGTTAAACAGGTAAAAACTTGCATTTTTGCGATAGTATATTGTTTTTAAACACCGCGCAAGTTTACTAATATTAATATTTACTGCATTGTATTATTTAAATAGTAATTTAAAAATATTATTTACAATTGATATAAATAAATATATACTCAATAAATAATAAATATATTGTTCAAATTTGGAAGAAAAAAAAACTATATACAGTTATTACATTGCGATGATTGATTTATTTAATTAGCCCAATGACAATAATTAATACCTACATAAATAAATTATGGAAAAAACTATGTTAATAAACTTCAAGGATTTGTTCGGGTTTTTTTGCGTAAGTGTATATGTAAACTATGTATAAGTACGATAGAAGCGCACTCTAGCGCGCCGCGCCGCGGCGGCTGAAAAATCGAGTGTACGCGCATAATTAACAATTAAAAAACAACGGTCTAAATTAAAATAAGCCCCGATTACTCTTCACAATCTTGAAGTTGAATGTTTAAACTTCAATTTAGACACTTGGTAACCTCAAAAATAATAATTTACATATGTGTTTTCAAGCCTCAAAAATGCGTATTTTCGCGTTTTTCAGACTTTAAATCGCTTATAACTCGAAAACTATCAACTATAGAGAAAAATGACAGAAGACCTTTTTTGTTTAAAATGACCCAAAAAACCTAAAAAAAACGTTTTCCAGATTAAAAAAAAATATTTTTGGAATTTGTTTAAAAAAAATTGTTTTAAACAATTTCTGCCCAAAAATTTCGCCCGGCACCCTTCAGATTTGTTTAAAGGGGACATTTTGAATCGGAATCCGCGAAGAAACCGAATCAAAAACATTTTCCCAACGGGAGCGGCCTCACAGCCTGGACTAAATTGACCGTTTTAAAGTCGTTGAAGACCAAAAAAACGTTTTTTTAAGTAGATTATTCTTTCTTAAAAGTGGACGAAATGAATTGTCATTTACTTCGTCCATAAATTAATCGAGTTTTCCATATGGCAGGTATTACAAATTACAATAAACTTTCTCAAATTCTACAATGCATATGTGTAATTTACTGTTTTACTATAAGTATAAACAGAGATTATGATAATAAACATACGATTTAATTTGGTAAGTAACTACATTTTAAACAATATTTAACATATTTCTTTCACTAATATATATTGAAAGTATTTTTACCATTACAACAAAGTATTAAGAAAATGCTGAATATAAACAATTGCAAAACACTTCATACTAAGGATTTAAAACTTGTTCGTGATCAGTCATACCCTAGCTGCCGATAATAACATCAATTTAACAAATTCATATTTACAAACTTTTTACCTACAATTCTGTATCATAATGTTGTATCATATCGAGTCAGTATACATAAATAATCAAAATGAAATCAAAAGATTTAAACAAGTTAAATTTGCATTGAAACTGACACCATCATTATACATAATATTATACATTTACAGAAAATAGTTGACTTCAATTAGTGCGATTGTAAATATTATTAAATTTATCTGACTTGTCTCATTGTTAAGACCTTGTACCTCAGGTAAACCTTGTTACCTGAAACCGGGCCTTTTATAGTATTATCGGTTAACCCAGGATGTTTATATTCGGTACTAATTGAAGTCAACCATTAAATGCTAAACAACTTTAATCATTTAGACTCTTTCATATTTAATTGATTAAAGTGATGAAAGTTTACGGTAAGTAAATTGCACTTGGGAAGATTAAAAAACTTGAAGAAAGAGGTTTAATTAATAGAGGTATCTTACAGAGGTATATATATATATATATATATATATATATATATATATATATATATATATATATATATATATATATAAAGAGGATGAAGCGTTGGTATAGGAATCGGAGGGGTTATTATTTTGTTGGCATGAGTAAACCATTAAAAATCTCAGGTAATTGTCTAACTGATAGTGACGAATGGGTCTCAGCTGATCTAAAAATCAGCCAGCTCTGCCAACGAATCCTACGGTATAATTCCCGGCAATATATGGCGTATTATGGAAGTACGTTATGTAGCAGAAGGAGAAGGGCGAAAAGCGGGTTTCGGCGCCTTATAATCAGAACACATCAGCCAACCCTTACCAACTCGCACTGAGGCAGTGTAATAAGGTACGCCTTACAACCCCTAACATGAAAGATACATTGAAATTATGGCCCTCATTCTCCGTAGGCCCAAATGTCCCTAAATTGGGTAGCTTTTGGGATAAAGCCAGGAGGGCAGAGGGTGCTAAGAATCTGCGAAGTCTAAACCGCTACCCAAATAAAACAACAACGCTTTATCTAGCGACATATCTCCGGATCACTATCAAATCAATCGAGACTTAGAAAACTGGAAAAAAAACTAGATATATATATATTGGAATTAGCGGCAGGAATTAGCGTCATCTATTGGAATTAGCGTCAGGAAACACATTCTACTAAATCATTCTTTTAATCAACAAAAAATGGAAACAATGAATAATACAAACTACCAGTATCTCGGATAGAGTAGTTAGCTTCACCTAACAACTATCAAAGAGATACAATATACAAATATACGCTTCAAGGATTATTCACACTAACGAAACTCTACAGTAACATAACTGAAGCATTGAATAATAATAACAATCACTTCAATTATTGAATTGGTGACTTTATTACAAAAATGGGAAAGAGAAACGGTAAGAAACAAGTCATATAAAATTAAGGAGTCGGTGAGAGAAATGAAAGAGGAGAAAGACTGGTTCAGTTTGCACGCTACCAAAATATATCTATTACAAATATATTCTTTAAGAAAAAATCGAACAGAAAATGGACTTGGTTAGCACCAAATGGAACCACAAAGAACGAAATTGACTTCCTTCTAACCAACAAGATTGCTACAATAAAAGATGTCATTGTAATAAATAAATTTCAAACAGGTAGGGACCATAGACTAATCAGAGCAAAAATTGGTCTAGATCTGAAACTGGAAAGAATAAAATTAATCACAAAACCAACAGTCACCGGTATAAATATTAAAAATCTAAAAGAAAACTCAAGACTCAGGAAAAATACCAAAGGATAATTGGTTGCGAAACTTGGACACTAAAGAAAGAGATAATAGCAAAACTTAAAGTCACTCAAAGGTCAATGAAGTGATGCACGCTAGGTATAACAAAGAGAGATCAGTGATAAGCTAAATGAACTCAGCGATGTAGCATGAAATGTCGGTCTGAATATTAATTACCAAAGGACAAAGCCATCAAAGACAAACCATTTAATTCTGAGCCATCCTTTGAAGGTAGAAGACGTCAAAATTTAAGTTATTGACAGCTACATATACCTTAAACATATCGTAAGAATTAGTAGAGATACTCAAACTGCTGAGCTCTTAAGGAGAATAACTCTAGGATAGGCAGCATATGGAAGATTTCATGAAATTTTTTAAGGTGGTGTACCTATCAGATAAAAAAGAAGAGACTTCAATCAATGTATCCAACCTGTTCTTAGATATATCACAAAGTCACTTACTTCCACAAGGACATATGCAAGTAAACTACAAGTGGCGCAACATAGAATTGAAAGATCATTGTTATGCACAACGTTGAGAGATAGGGTAACAAATGAAGAAATTCGCAGAGGAAGTGGTGTGGAGGATATTAGAAAATACATAGCTAACATTAAATGGAAGTTGATAGGACACATCCCTAGATTGAAAAATATCAGATGGACCAAAAAAATCTTAGAGTGAAGAGAAAGAATGAATAAGCGAAACTTGGGAAGACCAAGGAGAGTTCTGTTCAGAGTGGACGACTATGGGTCGATAATGATGTTGATGCTGAATGCGTACGTACATTGTAGACGTACGAGAGATGATTCATGAAACATATCAAAGACTATACATATATGAACACTGAGTATTCAGGCGTAAAAATTTGTAATATAATTCAATTGCAAAACTAAAACTTACTTATTTACTAATAAGACGAAAGTCAGAATTATATTAAATAATATTTGTTAATAAATTTCTTTTCTCTTTTTAGAAAGAGAGCTACAAAAAATTAGTAAAAATAATGATATGGCGAAGACGAAGAAGACCAACAATGATTAAACTTCCATAGAATACGATTCAAAACTGCAAAACGTCGTGGAATAAAATAAAAGAGAAGAAAATAAAAAAGTGGTTTAACATTGTTACATAAGGCTTGAGCTTGTAAAACTTGTTATGCTGTTGATATAAACGATAGGTACATTATAAATGCATGAAATTTTTTAAACGTTGTTTACGAATTTTTAAATTTACTACAACAGGCAACAAAGCAAGCTTGGTGTAATAAATAAAGAATATTTAGTTTTAACAGTTAATAATTATGTTATAAATGATGGTGTTGGCTTAAATTGTAATGGACTGTTTTAAAAGAATATAAAACATGCGGACAATGACACTGTTCAGGTCGAATAATACTAAATAACATGTATTGTAATATGTACATTATATTAACATAATAGGTACTAGATATACTCGGTATACTACAATATTTGCATTAAGTCGTTATTAAATAAGTCCAACTATAGATTGGTTCATGTTATTTTGTATTATTTCGTTTTTCTTTGGTTTAAAAATAGTTGAACAGACACACTATTGCGTGAAGTTTCTCACTACCTGCATCTGAAAAGTACCAGACAACTCAAGCATTATTTCAAAGGTTGGCATCATATCGTATTGAAAAATTGATAATTAAATGTCCATAGTATAATCTATTTTTACTATGATGGTGGATACCAGTTTGAAGGAGTACTCGGGGTGTTTTTACTAGAATGATACAAATGAAACCCCGTCCCCGTTGACCCGTGGTGATAAAATTGTGGTTGATCTACATACGAATACACTTGCGGTTTTAAAGGTAGGGGACTATCTGGATATTGATGCCTTAAAACATCTTGATAGGGTACTGTCGAGTCAAATGCTACACCACCGTGTAATTGCTGTTTGTCACGGGGAGACACACTAGAAGGGGGAGTCATGGAATGATAGTCCATATAATAACTAGTGGGATAATTTTGATGTTGTGATAGTAAGAATTGGTGGTCACTATATGATGAGGATCCTTCGCTGGTAGGAGATGTAGGTAACGCACCCACACCAACTTGATTGTCATTAGGATAGTAGCCGGGGGAGCTACCAGATCTGCTGCTGCCCTGTACATTCGCACGAATCACGCTTTCCCTATTGGCGTAGAGCTGCCTCAAGAGAGCTGAAGCAGGTAATGGGCCTTGTTGCTGTAGCTGCTGGTGATGAGCTCCAATCCACTGGATAGTGGTCTTCTGTTGTTGTTTCAGCAGAGCGTCTGTGCTAAAATCTGTTGGTTGGTTAATTGGCGACTTGCAGGCAGGGAGATGTTTTGACATGGCGTTCTCGAGGTCTTTCACTGACGTAACGCTACTGACGGTATCATCCAGCTTCTTAGGACTCGTCTCGCCGGTGACATCAGATGTTAAGGGATGGGTACCATTGGTGGAATGGCAAGAGGAAGCTGGACTTATCGCTGAACTACGATGGGCTGGTGTAGCTTCTTCTTCTTCATTTTCATCGGACGAAGTGTTTTTTCTCTTAGATGTCCGCCGAGCAGGAAATGACTTACGATGGTCTTTGTTGACATTGACGATCGGAGTAGCTTGAAGTTGCGTCACAAGGTCTAGGCGATGGGAACGAAGGTCTCCGGCTCTTGCGTCGTGGGCGTGTCGTTCTCAGTAGCATTACCTTCACAGGTAGCGTCCTCCAAGTCCTGACTGGAGTCCTGGGGTGGGTTGGTGAGGCCTCCGCCATTCAGGTCATCTGACCACAGAATCAGTTAGAATATATATACTAGCATTGGTGGTACGTCAACGTACCTCCACGTTCGGCGTCTGGTGATCCATTCTCTGGATCATTGTTGCTCGCTTCCTCTCTCTTTACCACGTGGTTCTGGTCGTCCAGCTGGCAGCAGTCCATGACGACAGACTCGTACTCTCGCCGACTGCAACAGAAACTTGTTAAATTTTATTTCACGACGAAATCAAGTTAACTATTTATAAACAAGTGCTCTATATTATCAGTGGAAATATAAAGTGAGTATATTACAAAAATAACATTTCAAAGTCATCCTACGTCAAATCAGAGCAGAATAAAACATAAGTTTATTATTAACTTTAACTAAAACCCAAATTCAACAATCATATATCAAATTTTATCAATCTTATACGAGATATACCTTTATATTTTACTCAATCAAAAAATGATATTATGAGAAGTTGTTTGGAATTAAAATGTTTAAATATGCAATTACATCCTTCAAATTAAAAAAATGTTTTCATATTTTTCTCAAATTTACAGATACCGACTTCATTTTTATGTATTACAAATATGATAACACTTATCTCCCGAGAAAACGTTACAATCAAATTTTCACAAACAAAAATTCATTAAACATCTTAAGAATATTAAAGACTTAATAACCTTTCAATTAGTTAATGTCTGCAATTTAACATCTTAGTGATGCATTTAAGTATTAAGTATTAAACAGTATGTTAGATGTAAGACAATTCCTTGAAAATCGTTTTAATTGAAGAGTTATACATCAAGCATCTGAAATTTTTTGGTCTCCCCGATCTCCAGATTTGCCGTCACTCGATCTTTTTGTGCGGTTACCTACAGGAAAAGATGTATCTTCAGAAAGCTCTTTAGAAAAGAGTTTTAAAAAATGTGCTCAGAGTATTACTCCGGCTTTGGTTAGAAGATTATTGAAAAACTTTCGTGATTGAACAATTAATTGTATAGAAAAATCGATGACTTAATCTGCAAAAAAGCTAACTCCACTTTTTTCGTAATATTGTTTTATTTGTGTAAGTATTGCTTTCTCTACCCAGCTATCTATCAGTTCACAAACCGTTAACTCCTAATTCTTATCGTAAACTTTTCAAATAGCATGTTTCTCTTGTAAGCTAAAAATTTTAATATGTAATTAAATAAAATCTTTTAACAATCTAATTTTTTATACTGTAATATTTAATTTGTTCTCGATACTTTTGAATTTTAGTTCTTTACATTAATTTGTTTTAAAAGATGTTCAAACAAACATGCTTACTCCTTTTTGTAATTTCTTACTGAATATGTAAACAAGCTAACTCCTTTTATGGTGCAAAAAAAGTTTTAGGTCAAACAAAGTTATTTTGATTAATTATTATTAACACCAAGCATCAAAAGAAATAATTAAGTTTTAATAATTAAGTGTAAGTATAATTATTCATGAACTGAATAGTTTTATGTTCCTACTCAAAAATTTGCCTAAATGGAGTTGGTTTTTTTGCAGATTAAGCCATCGATATGTTGAATGGTTAGTGAATTGAGGGAGCTAATAATGTTCCTTAAATGATTACAACAAAATGAATTATTAAGGTATTAATGATTTAACTGCATCGCTTAAAAGTAGACATTAATTATTTGGAAGGTTATTAATCTTCAATGTCCATTAGATTTTAAATGAATTTTAAGTTGTCAAAATTTGCTTATCATTTTTTATCGTAACGAAAGAGTTATCATTAGAGTTCGGTTTTAAAAACCTGAAGAAACGCAAAAAAGTATAACTGATAAAAAAGCATTTTATTATACAAAAAAATAAAAAATGAAAATAAGCATATAACTTTTGACAAACCATTTTTTAACAAAATTTACCTAAAATACTTAGAAATAGGCCCAAATTTTTTAAAACATCTTTTAAAATATTCCCTTATTTAAAATAACGTGTAGCGATTAGTTTAAATCAAAATATCTGGATAATGGTTGTTCATAGGGACTTCTGTCACGTATACTTTTTCCACAACGAAATGATGGGTTCTTAAATCTTCTATCTAAATAAAATACAGGTATATTTAGATACAAATTTATGGTTCTACAAAAAGTAAAACAGAAATGTACATGGCGCCCTCTACAACTAACACAATAGTGAGGTTATATTCAAATTTTGCTTGTCAAAGAACCACCCAAACACCAATGTTTATCTAAATATTGATAGTATTTCATATATTACTTGCAAAAAACGAAAATAAACATAAAACTTAACACCTTGTATTTCTGTAGAAACACATATTTATATAATTTTTTTAAGGAGGAAACTCACCTAATTTTTTTCACGTCATTAAGGCAACGCCCTATGGATATGGATAATTTGTAAAATAAAACTTACCGTCTGTACACATGCTCTACAAAATAATTTCTTCTTCTTCTTCTTCCGCCTTAAGTAATCCAACTTTGGACATAGGCCCCCCCAAATCAATCCAGTATCTTCTACTTTGCGCCGCTTGCTTTCACTTGTGTTCTCCGATCTTCTTAATATCATTCGCCTATCTCATTTGTGGCCTTCCTCTGCTTCTCTTTTACAACCATGGTCTCCATTGGTATTTCGTGGTTCCATCTCTTATCCTACAGTCGGGCATTGTATCCTGCGAAGCTCCATTTTAATTTGGCAGCATCTTCTCCTACGTCTTTTACTTTCGTTTTGCTTCTAATCCATTTGTTTGTTTTTTTTTGTCTATAAGTCTCAGCTCGAGCATTGATTTTTCCATCACTCTTTGTGCTTTTACCTTTTTATCCATGTTAACTTGGTGAGGGTCCACGTCTGTGAGCCATACGTGAGTATAGGGACGATACACTGATCGTAAATTCTGGTTTTCAAATATTGTTCTATTTTAGTGCTTTTCAAAATCCAACTCAGATTTCCAAATCCTGCCCACACTATTTTAATTCTTCTGGTAATTTCGACAGTATGATTTTCTTTGTTAACTTTCATTATCTGTCCCAGTTAGATGTATTCGCTTATTGTTTCTAAATTTATGTCGTTCAACGTTATATATCTAACGTTCGGTGTATTTGTTATTATTTTTGTTTTTTTTTTCAAGTTCATCTTAAGACCTATTTTTTCCGAAGTTTAAAATAGTTGCGTCATCATGATATGTGGTTCTTCGAAACTTATAGCGAGTATTACAATGTCATCAGCGAATCTTAAATGACTCAGTTTTCTTCCATTAACATTTATTCCTTTATCTGCCCAGTTAATGTCTTTGAACACATCTTCCAGTCCAAGTGTGAATAGCTTTGGTGAGATAACATCTACCTGGCGAACTCCTCTGTTGATTGGTATAGCTTTCTCTATTGGTATTGTTCATAGCTCTCTCTATTGCGCAAAGTTCTATGGAGTCTGATGCCTTTTCATAATCTTGATCATGAAAACCAAATAATTTACCATGTTCGAATGTTAACTTTTTATATTCCTTTATCCATTCGGTTAAGATTGGTTTTTGGCCTTGAAATTTTAATTTAATTCACAAATATTTAACACAAATACCGCTACAATACGTATACGAAAAGCAACAATAAACGATTAAACAATCGAAACGTATACAGCCTCAACGGGGTTTTACCTACAGACCAAACGATGCAGACGGGGAAGTCCCGGAAGTATCTAAATATGGATGCATAGATATTAGAGAAACAATTGACAAATAAAAATTAGCAAAAATGATGATATAATTAATATTTTTTGACAGGCTTTTATAGACTATAATATGAAGAATATTAATATAAAAAAGCACCAAATAAGCACAGAAATTTAAAAAAAATGCATACAAATTAAAAAAAAACCAAAAAGTATAAAAAGTGATGTTAACACTAAAAAAAAATGAATGGCAATTTTTTTCTAGTATAATTAGCGTGTAAAAACCCCAAAAAAATCATCCAGAGATGGCTTGCTCATTTCTAGATATGTCAGGTAGACAAAAGGTAAAACAGTGCCTCAGAGCACGCATGACAGTTTAGGTCGAATATAAGAGCACATATACAAGACAAGAGTAAGGTTGAATTATCAATAAAAATGTTGTTTATTAAGGGATAAAAGAATAATATAATAAGTGGATAAAGATAAATGACAAAAGATTAATGAAATGAATTTTTTTTAATGTGGTAACCGAAAAAAACTGTTTTTGGCGTTGGAACAGCATAAATTAAGATCGCATTTTGAGCAAACACACAGCGTTTGTGACTTATTGCACAATTTGCACCATCTCTTTCCACCTTCTTTGCCGAGCCAGATTGGGAAATGGTGTTGACCGTCGTAAAGCACTTCAGGAAGTGGATGTTTCGACTTTTGACCAACGCTCGAGCTGCCTGGCTGTGGATCTACGGAAGTTGATGGTCGCGATGTTGATAGTTTTGGACGACCAACGAGCCGGTTTTCTTGGCAGGCTACCAGAGAAGCGGCAACTGCTTCACGAAATTGTAGTAATTGTAATACCCGTTCTGGTTGGCCGAGACATCACTTGAGTCATTGACCTTTTCCGTGTGGATCCGTTTATGCAGTATGTATTAGTTACGGCCATGTCAATGAAATGGTAAAACAATCGGGTGATTGCATCGTGTGATTTTGCTCTAATATGATACCGGTCCGTAAGTCCGTCGATCAAAACTACGCCGCCCATGTGACTATTATATTCTCTTATCATTTGGGGAGAATCGACTTCCAAATATGCTTTAGCCTTTTGGTCATAGCGAGCTGCTTTCGCTTGCAGCTTGGTTGCATCTTCGTTGGATCTGGCGAATGGTTCAATACCAATGTACGTTGATGCCAATAGCACTGACATGTTATCTTTCCATAAGACAGTATTGATGTCCACACCAAATGCAGAGCCTACAAATTCACATGAATAGCCACGTAGCTCATCTTTTATATCTTTATCGACCAGAAAACTTGCAATTTGGAATACGAGAAACTCGAATGGCGCCCAAAATTTATATATCTCGAGCTCGCAATAATACCAACAAAGGCAACGATGTATAAAAATTATACAAAGTACAAGATGTGATAAACGAAGTCTGGAATTGTTTGTGATAATCGCACAACAACGTTCGATGTGGCTCCAAGATTAGGCTGGCCCGGTAGGATCACATTGTCGCCAGCACCGTTATAAACCTTAAACCGATAAGCGA